ATTGATCATGACACAAATGGCTGTATTTGCCCTGCTAACAAATGCATTATAACTCCCTAACTATTTAATTTTTGTAAGTCCTCACTATATTTAATTTCACAATTAATTGCAAGTATTTAAAAAATAACTTAATTGGAAAGGCATTAAAAGTGTTCCTCAGTCCTTACTTTAGTTGCGGAGTCATAATGCATTTGTTAGCAGGGCAAATACAGACATTTGTGTCATGATTAATGCCCAGATTATGACCCAACTCATGGGCCATTGTAGTTGCCATCAAACGTGTATCTTCGGTATGATCCTAAAGAAAAGAGAATACTTTTTTATTGTTAGTCTGCCAAGAAACTGAAAGTGAATCTAATTATCATTAACACTAATTGTCTAAAAATGATGACTGTGAAAAATTTTGAGTTGAGGATACCATCTCAGAATTCATCTAGCTAGCTCTTCTGAATGAATGCATGCCCACCAAGACTCCAGAACATACACAATTTGTATTTGTTTTCATTTTTAAAAACAGAAAGAAAAACACCACAAGGACAAACAAAAGACAAAACATACATAACAATGTAAAGTAATTATACAGCTCTCTTCATTTATTTAGTAATTAAAACTTAACAGGCAACTTCTGTCCAAAAATATTCAGCAATTTTTGTGCGAGTTAGTATTTTCACAATATTGAAGGCTGAAGCCTTAAACAGGCTTAAGAATGAGTTGTTTTTTCTAAATAAAAATGACCTTCTTGAGCAAACAAGTTTAGGATTACCTCATACTACTTGAATCCTAACTATGCTTCTTTAGAAACAAAATTGTATGAGGTTTTTTATTGCCATGTCTCTCCATCCTTTCTATGTGAACAAAAACTAAATTTTTTGTTTTTCAATAAATGCAGAGCATCACCTTAACTAATATAGTTTACTTATAGGGTCTTAAAATACTGGAGGTTTTTTTTTAAAAGTAGATTTAGTATTCCCTCATTTTCTCAATGCACATTAATTCAATCATATGCGATCTAGATCCTAAATTTCTTGTAAGAAAATAAGAATGATTCATGTTTGTCATTAGGATTGCTAACAATATTGTTCAGAAGCATTATTCGGGAGTGTTGTAATCTG